GTTGAAAACAATCTAATATCCGTGGATCGCGCCAAATCGCCAAGGATGAGTATAAAAGATAAAACCGGTCTCTGAAGTTTTAATGCGCTTAATCTCCTTATTAATAAGCCGAGGGAGAGCCAAGTAGAGCTCATTGGAAGCAGACTGCAATAAATGCACATTACGAGGATCGTTTGCCTCGATGTGGCGCGTTCACAGGCCCAACGAGCCCAGCCGAGCCAGTCCCATCTCTGGCTCCCGAACCGTGGAAACGGCGCAAAGGGTGTCGTCGATAGGTGATGCATCGTCCGGCAATACCGCGACTCTCCAAGGATGATATCGCTCCTACCTCCTCCTGCTCCTCCTCCTCCGGATAAGCGGCTTCCGCTCCCGGGGCCACTAATAATAACGATAGCATTCTCGACGACGATAATAATAATAACAATAATGGTAATAATAATGCCGGTAATAATCGAGTGTGAGAGAGTGTGAGCGAGTGAGAGAGCGAGAGTGAGAGGGAGGCGCCTCGCGTGCGACGAGGAGTCGTCGGGACCGAGACCGAGACCTTCCTGCGCCACGCATGCGCCGGATGCAGCAGCTTTTCCAACGGCGGTAGAACGCGCGAAAATTAACGTCTCTTTAATAATTATGGAAACGCTGCGGGATGAGCGGCCATTTCGCGATGCATTAAAAGTACGTTTGTTTGCCTCGTTTTTATAATAATATTTGCTATTGTAATGCAATTTCCACGTGCTTTTAGTGTCGTTGAACATAGGGCGAAGGGGAATTGGCGGCGGATTGGTGGCGGGAGAAGAGGGAAGGGTGCACGAAACCCTGAAAAGAAGTATTGGATACGCGATGCTCTGCGTGTGCGTGCGGTTAAAATTAGAAGCCGATGTGTCATGTGGCGACGATACACGCTAGGTTATTCATACGTTCACGGAGTGATAAGCGATTACAGAGTGATTCAATGAGTTCGGTAGCGAAGTTTCGATGATTTTCTATAACTTTCTAACCAGCTATAAAAAGCCTTACGAGTAGCGCGACTTCTTCTTTTTTGTTGTTGTAATATTATTAATTGCTCGTAGTCAGAGAGAGAGAGAGAGAGAGAGAGAGAGAGAGAGAGAGACAGACAGAACAAGCGAGGGTTTATCATTATTCCTAAGAATTTTTTAAGAAGAATGTGAACAGCATTTTAGGAAAAGTAGTAGGCAATGCGCTCGATTTATTCAGAAATTCATTATATTTTTAGTTAAAATGTTTAACATATTTGAAATAATAATGACTATGAGATTTTTTTTGTAGGGCAGAAAAGATTCATTACCCTAAGCTCGCGTCCACATTATCCGCCGTGACCCCCCCCCCCCCCCCCCCCCCCCCAAAAAAAAACCCCACCCTCATACACACACGCGCACGCATGCAGCCCACCGATGTTCCAACTTTTGATTAATTCATCAAATTTATTTAGGAAAAAGACTTGGGGTACTCGACCTATCTATCTATTCGTCTACTTATATTAAGTCTCTTGAAAATTGCGACAATTAAAGCATCAATTTCCGATCAATTACGACGTGAAACGCGCATCTTGATAAACACTCCGCCCCGTTCTGCCACTTTTAATGCATCCGACGTACATCGCCATTCCATTATTGCATCTGCCTCGTATTTTAAAATTGCAGCCAACCAACCAACCAACGAACCAACCAACCAACCAACCAACCAACCAACCAACCAATTAACCAACCAACCAACCAACCAACCAACCATCAAGCAACAATAAGCAAAACGGACACGCGCTTTCTGCTAATGACTCAACGGCATTATTACGTACACTGCATATACGACGCTTCTTATTTCAACATTTCTTTATTTTACAAGTGCGAGACGAGGCTTAAAGGTATTTCATGAACGTATCATCTCGAGTTCTCTTATAGAGCTCGGAAACCTTATTTAAATATGCGGCTAAAAATCATTTCACCATTCTCGGCATATTAACGCGACATCTATTCATTTTGCCTTCCATTGGCCTTTTCTCCTTTGTGGGACCTTCAATGGACATTACATTAAAACGGTAATTATAAGCACGAACGGACTCGGCGACCGTCTGGCTTTGCGATTCTCTGGCATGCATTTACAGAGAGAACTACAAAGAATATCACAAAGTGATCTTTCAAGTGATTCATTCGTAATTACCTCCGCGGCTAATTTATTATTTATCGAGAGCACCTGATCGTAATTTTAAGCATTACCAATGTAACTAATCCACTTGAAAGTATACTGTTGCGGGATTTAGATCTCACTAATTGATTTTTGCTGATTCACGAATGAGTTTTAAATGGATTGTAAAAATACTTGGCAATAACGACGTCGGTAAAATAGCGAAAAACTTTTCACTATTACAAATTAAGCACAGCAATTAATATTTTAAACAAAATATTTATAATCCTCAAACCTCACCAACCGCTATCTAACTTTCCACTATCTTTCAATCTAAAAAACAAAAAATTTTCACATCCGTAATATTGAAGAAATTAAGCTCATTGTTTTTCAAATGCCAATAGTTTTAATAGATTTTAGAATATTGTACAGACTATTTAACGACAAGATATAAGAAGAGCTACTATGACTAATGCCCATGGCGATAAAACTTTTACTTTCCTCTTGTGGAATTCTTGACACTAGGATATGGCCTTTATCACGATACTACGACAGCAACCTCGATATATCTTCCAATTCTTAGAATTCTATTCTGTATTCATTTTAGTATGTTTAACGAATTTTAGCGAATCAAACGAAGAAGGAAGCTGCTTTTATTATTATGATTCTCAAAGTTCAAAAGTGTGCTACTCATGTATTTATCATTTCAATATTTGCTCGTTAACAGAGTGCTATTTCTCTCTCTCTCTCTCTCTCTCTCTCTCTCTCTTTCTCTCTCTTATATATATATATATATATATATATATATATATATATATATATATATATATAATATTCTCTCGATGGATTATTTCATTTCTAGAAAGGTTAATTTCGTGAATGAAAAAAGGTGAAATTTCGCTATTATGTTGTATACTAAACATATAAATATATAATAAAAACTTTCAGTTTGGCTATCTCTTCTCCCCCCCCCCCAACTCTCTCTCTCTCTCTCTCTCTCTGTATATATATATATATTAAATGTGTAATTTTGTTAAAATTTGTTGTTTCAAATTTCCTTTCATATATAATATTAAGTAAATCGATCAATTATGATAATAATAAGTAAATTTATTTCAATGATAAAAATCGTGTAAAAATAAATAAATACAAAATTGTTAGACCTTAGAATATATAGGGCATCTATGTTTTATAGGGGAAAGAAAAATGAAAGAAAAAAAGCAGCGCGAACTTTAATGAAATAAATTTAAAAGTTAGGAGACTTCATTAGAAGAAGTTATAAAACGAATGGCATAATATTCCAACGAGATCGTACAATTATTTTATTCCTACATATATCTGTATTCATAAAATAATAATGAAAAATTTCAGAGAAAAAAAGATTAAACGCAAAGAATATAAACATATTTAGCCTTGTTTATGACGTTTCTTAAAGCAATTTATTTTACTTGCAAAAGTCAAATAAATACATTGAGGTGAAATATTTGGGGAAAAAATGCAACATACGGGAAGAATAGGTTTTTCGCACTTGAGTCGTTGTATATTAAGTGTATGAAAGTTAAATGACACAATGGTCGTAAAAGTGCATCGAAGTCACTTGAAACAAAGCTTGTTTGTTTATCTTGTGAGGCAGCGACTATTTTAGCCGAGATAATTCGAGACAAATGTTAAATTAATTATTTTTAACCAAAGGCTTTCCATGCTTCTCGAGTAGCATTTAAGGCAAGTTAAATGAAAATATTACATAGAGCATAAATCTTATTGTCATTTAAATCAGCTTTAAATACCTGACTAATCGCGAGTCCTTTTAGATGTACTTTTTAAAATAAAAGCCAATAAACTTTGATTAAATTAAGCGTACACAAACGAATATACAAAAGAATTTTATACCTACAGCTTGAGCGTGTAAGTGGTGAGGCGTGCGAGCGAGCGAGCGAGAGAGCGAGCCAACGACGAGTTATCAATCGTTAAAATAAATAATTTATATAATATTGACGCAAATCTATTGCTTTATTAAGCTTATAAAGAAATATTGTAAGTACATTATTAGCGTTGGCGGTGTGGCGCGGGAGCGCGATTTAGAAAGCGATAGGCGAGAAAGATAGGAGAAAAAGGCTTTTAATAAATAAACACTCGAGCTTAATGACAAATATCGATTATAGCAATTGGATTTAGTCGCGATATTATCTCACCAAAGTACTAAATTAACAAATTCTTCTTTCTATCTTTCTTCGCTACTCTCTCGGACTGCTCTTAATATTTCTCAACTATTCTTCATATCGAAAATTCAGTATTAACTGAACTCAATCGACAAACGATCTTAATTCGCTGGTCTCGCGATTTCCGCTCTGTCGGGCTTAGCCGCCGATAATTAGGCCAATAGGAAATGACTCCGAGCCGACATATTCCTTCTTATTTCCTTTCTTCTTCCTTGCTTCTTTTTTCTTTTTTTTTTTCATTATTATTTTTTGTTTTTGTTTTTGTTTTTTCCTTTTTTTTTGCCTTGTACATATCCAATAATAACGCGCTCGCCGACTTTGGACGTTTTCAATTTTCGTGACCGGGAACGAAGAATCGAAGGTGGGGTGGAACATTGAATAAGTAGAGTGGCCAATGCCCGGTTTGGCACGCAATCAATTTGCCGAGCATCGTTAACCCGACCGCTTTTCTCTCGCCGTTCAGTCACGATAAGCCACATTCGTACTACCATTAACGATTACTCGCCACTATTCTAATATCGCCCTTCTAGTTATTATATACTAGCATCGACGATGGGCGAACCCTACAAGATCCCGCTAAAAGTCCATGGTCATACGGAAAATAATAAGGTTATGAAAGTTGAAGGTCAATACTTAGGCTTTTACATTGTTATTGGGTAAGTTCGTCCAAATATAGAAGGCCCAGGGCGGGATAAAAAATTTCGAGCAAACTTGATAATGCGATATTTGTCTATTTCCGTGGAAAGTAGCCCAGTTGTATTTGGCGGCGTATGGGCATGCACAGACAGGATCCGACAGCAGGCGAATGAGAGTGGAGAGGCGGCACACGCGGACCTCAACGTCCGGCGGCGAGTCCAAACAAACGAGATCCCGGACGGCGATCTATCGGACCGGCGATAAGTGTCACGGCGACGGCTGGCAATGTGATCGTCTCCTACGTCCGGGTGCGCGATCAACGCCTTCCTTAGTCCGCGACTCGAAATAAAGAAGCGCTGCCTAGGGGAAGCTGGGCACTGAGAGTCGCCGCGATCGCGGCCTCGCTAAGAGCCGGCCGTGCCTAAATATAGCCGTGGCCGGCGCTGCTCGCTCGACTTCCTCTCGCGCCGCGCGATCTATCGCGATAAATGACGGGGAGTCGAATCGATGGGACTCGTCGAGCCTCCTCGTTCATTTTTCCCACCGAATTTCAATTTGCTCGATTTGTAACGGACGAGTCGCCGAGTCTTGAATTGATTAACGATGGTGGTGGTGGTGGTGGTGGTGGTGGTGGTGGTGGTGGTGACGGTGGTGGTGGTGGTGGTGGTGACGGTGGTGGTGACGGTGGTGGTGATGGTGCTGATGGTGCTGCTGTTGCTGCTACGATTGTTATTACGACTGCTGCTGCTGCTGCTGCTACGACTGTTGCTACGACTGTTGCTACGACTGTTGCTACGACTGCTGCTGCTGCTGCTGCTGCTGCTGCTGCTGCTGGCGATTGGGGTGGGTGGGGGGGAGGGGGTCGACTGTTGGGGTGGGTGGGAGGGAGGGGGTCGACTGCATTGTACGAAATCAATGGAAAGTCGGTGTCGGCTAGAGTGTGGCCGATTGGCGTAACGAGATTTCAGGGTGGGAGGGCCGAGCCGATGTGCCAAGTGCCAAAGATCGAAGAACCTGATGGCAATACGCACGGCAAATTAATGGATTCGGCAAAGCGAAAGGAAATTACGACGAAAAAATTTATGGTTTATTAATGGCGTGGGTAGGGCGAGGCGGGATGGGGAAATTAAACCGAGAGGGAGTGTGTAACTATCGAGGAGCATTGATATAATAGAAACAGATTGTAGGAAACTAATTTCTCGAAATATCTCCTCGACTTTCGACTCGTGTTTGATCGCCGCGATATCAATGGAGCATTCGCGATCATTGGGATGTAGTTTATCATTTGCACGGAGGCTGGCTAGGAGTCGTTGGTCTTATGGCAACGACTATTTATTTAATCGCATGCGCGACTCAAGCCGTTCGAATGCTCTTAGGTGGACTAAGAAATTATTGCGTTAAGCGCCTCGGCGCAACAGTCGCAACAAAGCAATCGGTATTGTAAATTAGTGCTATTTATAATGCCGATTGATTCTCAATTAGGTGATAGATAAATCAATTTCAAGGCCACTATTGTAGTCTACGCGAATGATTACGAGACGATGGAAATCGTCGAAGATTCGTTGGAAAGGAAAGAGCTAAAGTCAATCGAATTAAGGTTCATCGACGACTTCGATAATCTTCCTTTCACGCTTTTTTTGGTCTTACGTACCGCGATGTTGTTTGACAAACAATTTGTATCATTCCCATGCGATTCAACTCGTTAGTGGACGCCCGTCACACGCCAACAATCATCCCGGCATAAAATATCCTCGCACCCGTGGCTTCACAAAAATTCAGCCTTTGAAATATTTCTGAACTGTAGTCGTCGATATCCGTCGACTCCACGTAATGGCCCCAGAGATTTTCATTTACCCTCCTGAAATCTCTTCCGCTCGAGAAATTCTCGTAGGGGCTGGCAATGCTCTCGCAACTACCGGGTATACGATTGACTTGGATACCGTAACGCCGTTACTTTTGCGCCAGACAAAGTCTCACACGCGTTTACTCGCACGTTATCGGGCCGCCAAGATTTGCGCATCTCGCTTCTTTATAAGAAATACGTGTATCGCACGTGGAGTATTGCGCGTTGGCCATAAGAGGCGTCGACGATGAACGCAAAATAGTACCGTAATTTATGAAATACAATGCTGCCATAATAAAAAGGGAAGTGACTGTAAGCGGAACATTTTCATTTCACGGCTAAGCCCGTGTAGAGCAGCAACTTTCTTTTAACGCGACTAAGTCTGGCGAGTGCGAATCTAATTCAAATAAGGTCATACGGCGTGCGTAAGAATAATTGACAAATTTGTGTGTATTTGATGTATTGGACGATAAAATGTATATAAATAAAAATAGGGTATTTATTATATATATATATATATATATATATATATACATATATATATATATATATATGCAAATGAAAAAAAAAATCTATTCGTTGGTTTTAATTTTGTTTGTTTCTTCTAACGCAATTAGTTTGTTGATATATTGTAGTACTGTTATTTTTATTGATAAATGTAAGGAAATGAAAGGCCGGTTTTATTCTGAATTTTTATTCTTTTATTCTGGCCGGGTTTATGCCTGAATACGTGCGTGGTGGACAATGTGCGATCTGCGTTTATTTTAGCATGCAAAAGTATAAAAGCAATTTTCCTATCCAGATTACTGAGCAAGAGAAGTAGTTTCGTAACGATCGTGGTATCCGTGAACTGACGTGGGATACGCGATAGTTATCCAAAATTTTAAGCCGTTCGATTCAGCGTTGATATCGCACTTTATGATCCATGGTGTCGATCCAGGTGTGCTCTCATTATCAGGCACTCGACGAGGATCTATCTACTCGATTATGTAAATCCACGAGACGATGATTGTAAAAAGAGGGTAAATTGCAGTTTAAATAAGAGCAGAAGGCAAATTACTGGAATACCGCATGCCTACCGAAGCATTACAAAATTATAATCGGCTTCCTCGATCGCGAGCGACCGCGGCCGTAAAAAAAATGTTGAGCAAACATTAGATTCTCCGCGAGTCTCTCTCGTCCCTTCTCGAGTCCCAATTGACACGACTCCCCCTCCTATCCCTCCTCAGGCACTGCCGGCTACCAAGGCCCGATGAAAGACACACTGTATTTCTCATCGTGGACCAATAAAGTCGGGGGCCGAGGATAAAAATCGCTAGCTCGCTCGTAGATTAAAAGAGAGCGAGAATCGCCAAGGGACGACGCTGGCGGTTGTCGACGGCCGCGGAGGCTTCGGGGGCACGAGAAACGAGGGCCGCTCGTTGGAATTCAACGGCAGACGCAACCGTTCCGCGAACAGCAGCGAGAGCACAAAGAGGCAGGCAAGCAGGCACGCGTTAAAGGAAAAAATCTTACGAGACACCGGCTCGTCCTTATCGATGCGACCGATTTTTCACGCATGCGCTATACCCGTCAACGGCAATAGCAACGGCTACGGCTACGGCTGCGGCAGCTGCAGCTGCACCTACATAGAGGAGCTTGGGTAGGTTAGCGAAAATGCAGCGGCGGAAAGCCGAGAACGTTGGCCCGGGTTTTCCCACGAAAAGGAGAACGCGATAACAATGAGAGCGACAGCGGTAACGACGGCGGCGGCGGCGGCGGCAGCGGCGGCGGCGGCGGCGGCGGTGGCAGCGGCGCTCGAGCGCCGGCCTCCTCCCCACTGCCTCCTTCCCACCAATTGCGCCCATTCAGGCTTTTCAAGAGTTTTAGTCTTGCATTGCCTTCCATTCGCGGCGGTCCTTGCATCTCCTCCCCAGGAGCTCGGGATGCACGTACGTACTTAGAGCTCTTTCCC